GCGAATCGGGCGACCGGTCAACCGGTCCGATTCGCCGAAGCCGAAAGGAGCCCCACGGTTGCTGCCCACCACAGGGAGATCTGCCCCCAATTCTGCTCCACCCATATGCACCATGTCACCGGAGAAAAGTTAAGTTGGGGAGGAAGGAGATGTTGTCATGATGGAATAGAATGGAATGGAAAGTGTTCACTGTGCAGAAAGTAACAGAATTTCTCTGCCTCCAGCCAACAGCACAATCTACAGGCTACGGCTACAGGGGAACAGCAGAAACTCTTTTCTTGTCCGGCGAAAATTCGCCACCGGCATGACCTTTGCCGGATTATTAGCGGTGGAGATTTTGGTCATCATCTATTCTCTTGTAACAAATGATCAACCATGTGGACAGTCCGATCGAAACATCGGGCTGACTTGTAGCCTCCTCTATGAATGTGCTAGCACCAAGAAATTCTCCCAGTTGCACAAGGGGGTCTCTTTCTGATGTGAGCATCCGGGTCTGGGTCTTATCTGAGCAAAAAGGATGGCCGGCAGGAATGTACCTGTACCACCCAGCACCAGATATTCGGATCATTCCGCATCGAGCTCGCGATAAGGCGCATCCTCCGATTGGTGGGCAGAAATCCACTAGGTTCAGGTCACATCTTGCTTGAATCTGAATCATTCCCTGCATACAACCCTTTCCACATGAAAAATGACAGGTTTTGGGTTTTGCACAAACAATATTAGTACTCTCTATTCTGCTAGCAATAAGAGTTCACAAGATGGAAGAGCTGAAACTGGACCAAAAACGCAAACGACCTACCGATTCACAATCTTGCAGCTCAGACCAGAGTAACACACAAAACAAGACGGCTCAAACATAAATCTACAGGACCAAAAAGTTACACGCTGCAGCGCAAACCGCGCACACGTTACGAACTTTATATCTCTATGAACAGCTATACTTACAGTCACAGGCAGGAGGAGGGTGGCATCCATTTCAGCAGGTCTTTACGATCTCAGGTTTCCAGCCCCGCCACACGATCTGGCGGCACCCGAACTTGAACTCCTGGAGCCTCCTCTTCAGCGACCCTTTCTTGGTCCGCTTCGCGCCCGGTCCGGACACCAAGCCATGGTAGTGCAGGGGAGGCTCCGGGGGGCCGACCTCGACGCTGTCGACGATCTTCTGGACCATTTCATACACCTCGCTCATCTTCGGGCGCGTCTTCGGTAGCCGCAGGAGGCAGCGGTTTGCCACGCCGGCCAGCTTTGTCATGGACTTGAGGTCGTAGTGGCCCTCAAGACGCGGGTCGACGATGATGGGGAACCGCTTGACGTCCGAGATGTACGGTTTCACCCAGTCCAGGAGCTTCTGCTCGCCCTTTGGGCGGTTCCGATCGATGGGACGCCGGCCGGTGATGAGCTCGTAGAGGAGCACGCCGTAGCCCCATATGTCGCTTTTTGCGGTGAGGCGCCCGGTTTGCATGTATTCGGGCGCGGCGTATCCTAGAGTTCCAACGATCTGTTGAACCATAAGTATTTAATGTGTTAGTTTATGGAATAATAGAAGTTAGTTAAGATGGATGATCAAGGAAGTATCAAGTTGAAGTTGTACTAGGAACTAAACAAACTGGCAAGAAGAGAACAAACTTCACAAAACTAGTTCATGGAGAATCTCTGACAGTTTCTAAAGGGAGCTAAAGCAAGCACTTCAGGGGGGTACCATGTGACTATTGCTTAGCCTCACATAGTGGGATCCATGTGTCATAAAAAGAAATAACATGATTTTCTTTTGTGCAAAATGTATTATTAATGAAAGCAGGGTATAACCAAACTAATGTCTTCCTAACGAAATACCAGCAAGTTCTTTGCCAAATTCTGGCGCAGGAAAGCATGCAAATCACCCGAGTTGTTATGGTAGTTAGGATGGATACTTTAAAACCGAACTCTTGTTACTTGTAGACGCAGTTGGCTTTATCTGAAGAAGAGAGACATGATTCCTTTAATGGACATATCATTTTGGCTAGTGCTGCACTGTGAAGCTGCTAGAAGAAACTTATATAGCTCTGACTAACGCTTCAAGCTGAAGTACTCACTCCTTTCCAGGACTTCAGTTTTAATTTTCAAAAAATTAAGAATATGATTGTTGAGCACTTCAGAAACTAAAACATGCACATTTAAGCATCCACACCATACACCGAAACAATTATACCATTTGAAGTGGAGCAACTGGGTATCCATTTTCCAACTTCATTAAAAAGGACCATGTTTTAGGAAAAGTTATCTCGTATACCATTTTCCAATTATAGTTCAAAGTTGTACTAGGAACTAAACAAAGTGGCAAACAAGGGAACAAACTTCATAAAACTAGTACATGGAGAATCTCCTACAACTTCTAAAGGCGGCTAAAGCAAGCACTTTAGGGGAGCTCCAGGTGGCAGCGCACACAAAGCTACTCCTGCTTAGCCTCGCACAGTGGGACCCATCTGTCATAAAAAGAAATGACATGGTTGTCTTTTGTGCAAAATACATTTTTTTAACGAAACCAGGGTTCTGTACTCTATACCCAACTAACAAAATAATAGCTCAATTAAGACATGGTAATATATGTCCAGCAGATTCTTTGCCAAAATTTCCAGCTTAAGCTCACAAAATCACTACTCTTGTCGCTTGTAGATATAGCTGGCTTTGTATGAAAAAAGAGAGGTGCATTCTGAAGTATTCAAGCTGAAGTATTCACTCTTTTCTATGACTTCAGTTGTAATTCTTGAAAATTTAAGAAGTTGATTGTTGAGAACTTCAGAAACTAAAGGTACACATTTAAGTATCGATAGCATACACCGAAACAATTATACCATTTGAGGTGGAGCAACTGGGTATCCATTTTCCAATTCCAACTTCATTGCTATCAAAAGGGAACCGTGTTATAGAAAAGAAACATCTTGGCACCATGAGTATCCACATCTTTAGAACATCATACACTTTGCAAGACCAATAATTTTAAAGAAAATGGAACGGAATGCTGTCAGAGCACATTACTACAAAAAAATTCTGGGTCCGTATATGTGCGTACCGCTGTGGAGACATGGGATAGCCCTTCTTGTGGTCCATGCCTAGCCAATCCGAAGTCCGATAACTTTGCATTCCAGTTCTCATCTAATAGAATGTTAGATGTTTTCAGGTCTCGGAAAATAACCTGCATGCATATTGAAACAGGTAAACAGAGTGCGACTTTCTGTACTGCATGTGTTCCTTATTTTGCTGAGTGTAATCAAGCAGTGATGTTGATACCAGACAAATGTTTCACATTCAGTTAGTTTTTGTATTGATCAGCAGAAAGCAAATGAGTTACCTGAAAGTCCATCTCCTCATGCAGATACTTGAGCCCGCGGGCAGCATCAAGAGCTACTTTCAATCTCATCGGCCATGATAGAGTAGAAGTTGACCTACTTGCCAAGTGGTCATCCACGCTTCCGTTGGGCATGTATTCGTATACCAGAAGCCGCTGCATTCCCCGCTCATCGTCATCCGCGCAGTAACCTATTAGTTTGACCAGGTTTGGGTGCTCTACAATCCCAAGCACGTTCATTTCTGTTAACCATTCCTTCTGCCCCTGAAGAAAGATGAATAATGATATATTAGGAACCCCAAACTAGTGGCTCAAGCTAGATTACAGTGCAAGTGACTTCAGAGGGACTCATCAAGCAAGTTGAACTGAAATGCTGGAATAATATGCTCGGTGCTTTGCTCGAGTACTGCTACGATTTGTTTACAACTTTAGATTAGCTGTTGTTGTTGTTCCTGTATGCTGGCACTGGTTGACTCACTATACCCTAAGCTAAACTAGAACAACATGCAAGTATAATACTAATGGAATGTGATGCAAGGAATTTCACAAGTATAAACTATGCCGCATTTCCCGAAACAACCAGGGCCTACTGAATGGATTGTTCTCTAAACAAATAATTAGTTTAGAAATCCTGGATTGGTTTCAAGATGCAGAGTTTGAAGATGCAGAACCAGACCAAATCACATTTGTTGTTACGAATGAGTAATATAAACTCCTTTTGGTAATGCATACAATTGGACTGTAAGATATACTGTATATATATACAGTGTGTATATGCTATCTGACAATAATACAGTACAGGACAGTGAGAGGGAACTTGCCTGGACTCCCTTGCGATTCAGCTGCTTGACGGCGATCTCGACGCGCTCGGCGGGGTCGTCGTCGGAGCCCTTGATGACGCCCCGGTAGACGCAGCCGAAGCCGCCCTCGCCGACCATGAGGGAGCGGCTGAAGTTGCGGGTGGCGGCCTTGAGCTCGGGGAAGGTGAAGACCCGGAGGTTGGCGGGGCGGTCGGTGAAGCTCGGGTACTGCGTCCGGCGGATGGACTCGGCGCTCATGTCGGAGGCGTTGATGGAGTTGAGGTCGGAGCCGGAGCGCGGGTCGCCGCGCTCCGTGGACTCGGTGCTGAAGGAGCGCACCGAGGCCGACATGGCGCCGCTGGGGCCCGTGCGCCGGTCGTCGTCCCTTGACTTGGCGTCCCCGTGCAGGAACGGCAGGCACCTCATCGCCGCTGCTGCTGCTGCTGCAATGGAATGGAATGCGGTGGGGATTCGGTCAGTCAGTCAGGGGAACATGGTCGGTGCTTTGCTTGGAACATCACGAACACAAATCTGAAAATTCAGGTTTGGGGAAGGATGGGTAGCATTTTGGCAAGCAGGTTGTGTTGTCAGACAAGAAGGGATTCAGAGTTCTGAACTGAAAATTGATCTGTTTTCTTTTCTTCAGGCAGTGTTTCTTACAGATAGATTCAGTAAGGATACACGGACGGAATTAGCAATACAGTAGCAGGAATTATGAGCGTGGCTTGTGTGAATTCAGCAAACGAAACCATCCAAGAAGTGGCACAGATGAATGACAACTAGTAGTAGTAGAACAAATCTGAATTCTTGCCGTCTTACTGCTGCTACTAGAAGGTAAAACCTTGATTTCACACCGAACTGAGCTAAGCTAAACGCACGCGTGAGAGCAGAGTCTGCAGGCCGGCGAGCAGGCGCGATAATCCAATTGATGGAACCTCTGCTCTGCTAGTTAATCACCCCCCCTGCCGAACCGAGCCGCGGCCGATCTCAGGCCATGGAAGGACGGCAGAGCGGAGCGGAGCGGAGCGGAGGCGGGGGTAGTGAGTATAGAGGATGAGTTGCGGCGACGAACCTTTGGGGTGCGATGGGTGCGGTTGCTGGCGACGTCCGGGCAGTCGCGACGAGGGGAAACCCCGGCAGCAGCGGGAGCAGGAGGCCTCGGGGCCGTGGGTCCGATGCGGGCAGGAAAGGAAGGAAGCGACGGGGAAAGGGGGCGAGGAGGGTGATGAGAGGCGCACGCACGCGGAAGCCGAGGAGGGGATGGCTGAGTGGACTGACGGCGAAGGGAAAGGGAATGGAGCAGCCCGGTCAAAGCTGGGTTGGGACCTGGGAGGGAGGGAGGGATGGATGTCCTGGACGGGACGGCTGGTGTCGTCTCTCACTCTCACCACCTAGTGAGGTGAGGAACGAGGAGGAGGAGGAGGTGCAAGGGGGGATGGATGCCCCTAGACCTGGCCCTGCCTGCCGCGCAAGTGGGGAGTGGAGGAGGAGGAAGAAGACGAGGAGGAGGGAGGACGAATTCTCTGCGGAGTGGTAGTCTTGGTCGTCGCCGCCGTTGTCTGGCTTGGTTTGTGAACCTGTGGGGCAACGCCAACAACCAACGAGGCTGGCTGACGGGATCTCACCTCAGGCTCAGGGGGAGCACGAGGAGGATGCCGCCAGCATAACGATTCACTTTATTTTATTTTTTGCATTTACACTGCAAGATATGGATAATCATGGAGTATCCAGCGAGCAGTGACCGTCCATCATCACCTTCACTTCATCAGCCCCAGCGGGCAGCGAGCACAAACGGGTCTATTGGCTCTCACCGCTCACCACATGCACACGCACCCTAAAATCCGCCGCTG